CGGCTTTTATTACCGCTAATCATTTATTTAAGCTCAGTTTTTAAAACCTTAGGATGTAACTACAGCCCAGCCCATGCAGCAGTATATGAATGACTAACCTCGTATTATGGATGGATTATCTCAGTTGTTCTCCTGGCTGAAGTTTGGTCCTTTTACAGCATCCTGCCATGCGATTACATTTGTTCCTGACCACCGAGAACACTCACGTTAACTTTTATCGAGTGGAAAAAAAGTTAGCTTGTTTATATTATGCTAACATAGCTGTGTCGCTAGCGGTCACGTAGCACATCATTATATACCAGCTAGCCCAACTTCAGTAACCCTACAAACGTCACTGCTGTTTAGTTTTCTGTCTTCATTTATGCTGGAAGTGATAACAGAGCTGTACGTTTTAATTTGTTTCCAAAACTCCGCAGTCAGGACATGCTATATTGTATTTAGATAGAAGCTAGCGAGCTAACTCCCTGCTAACTTCTAACTCCGTAAAATGTCATAAATTCCGTTTCATGGATGCCTGGATGTTAAACTCAATTGTTACACCTGGTAGAGCAGAACGCTGATCATTTTATTAAAGATGAAAGACTTTAGACAGTTTTTCAACTCTTAGTAATGCCATAGTGATTGTTTGATATATGGACCTGCAGTGGAGTTTAGGTCCAGACACGGCTAGTGACATCAGACTGAACAACCGGATAGGTTCATTTCCTGACCCCTCTCTAAAGTTTACCACATTAGTATAACTTTGTGGGTGCTATCAATTTAGGACCATTATGTTTACATTTTCACTGGTATGTAGTAGAGATGGACCGATCCGATATTACGTATCGGTATCGGTCCGATACTGACCTAAATTACTGGATCGGATATCGGAGAAAAATAAAAAATGTAATCCGATCTATTAATTATCACGAAAGCACCTCACAAAACTTGCAACAGGCTGTAACTCACCTTAGAACGTTAGCACGTCGGAGCAGTATGCATCACGTGATAGAGCGGCTGTGGCATGAGGGACCTGTGGTCTGGATAGCATTTGGAGCTTCGCTAGCAACATTTCATCTCCGACAAAGTTATTCCCGAGAGAAGTAAAGCAAGTGTGTAAGTCCATCTCTGAATGTTTGTAAAGCATTCCTGCCTTAAGCTTAACAAGCGACTGCCTCTTCTTGCTGCTATTTCAATCATGAAACTGCTTAATGATCAGCTGATCGGCTTTTCTGTCGCGAGTCCATCTCTCTTGTTTGTTTTTGGCCCACTTTGCACCAGAAAGAGGAAACCAGCGGCTGAACAACAGCAGCACGTTTAAGCTTGATAAGCTGTTGTTAGAACTTATTTAATATTACTTTCTACACCAGGATCCTTTTCTACGTAGCTGACGGCTGGTAACTGTGCAGGGGAAGATCTAGCAAAGTTTAGCCAGGGGGGCCGATAGGGCATTAACAGGGAAAAGGGGGCACAAAGACATACTTTCTTTCTTATTCTCATTTAAAATGTCTAGCTTTTAATAAATAATTATCTGACACCCAAAGTTTTAATTTGATGTAAAAGGAATAGAAGTCAATTACTGTATATAGTAACTATTAAGTCTAATATAAATACCCTAGTAAGCTATAGTACTTTTCCTTTGGGAAGGTACCATCTGTGCAGTCTGCAATTTTGTTGAAGAAAGATGTTGAATCTATTTAATATTTCTTGAAAAATAATTGATTTCTGTGCATTTTTTTTCACACTGCATCAAATTAAGGTTGATTACGTCGATTAAGCATCATGAGGTGGAGCGTGAGGGTGGTTCCCTATTTTTTATTTATTTATTTTTGTTGTTGCTGGGAGTTGGAACCCTATTAGTTAGGTTGCTTAATATTTATACTAAGTACTCTTTAAAATACCAGAATAGGGAGGATGGTGTAGGTTTGAGTTTATTAGATTGATCAGTATTGCTGAACTATGAAATTTTTTTTTGCATACAGGTATAACAGAATAGCTTTAGTGTAGTTGTTGTTTTAAACTTGAGTATGAACTTATACAAAATGCAGCAAGATATTTAAAAAAACAGTTTTGTCGATTAAAAAACACTATATCGGATTCATATCGGTATCGGCAGATATCCAAATTTATGATATCGGTATCGGACATAAAAAAGTGGTATCGTGCCATCTCTAGTATGTAGCCCACACACAGGAGGCTGCTGTACATGAGCAATACCAGCAGACTTGGCGAAGCAATTCACTGGAAAGATTCGACACATTCACAGGGTTTCATCACACCGAGACAAGTTTGTCTCGCCCTTGTTTTCCCCCAATGGTGTTCCTGAGTGCCATCTTAAAGGTTCCAGGCGGCATACCTTTCTTCATTGTCATGTGTAAAGGGTGGAGACTGATTTCCTTCCATGAATGCTTTACAGCAATTTGAGGTAATAAGCAACAGCAATAAAACAAGTAATATTTGTACATTATTTTATCAGTCCACATCCTCACTACTTAGAGAACAGTTTCTCCAGTTGATAATATGTTGGTAACACTTGCTTCTGAGTCTATAAGTGGCTTTAACTGTATCTTACATCTGTGCATCTCAGTGATCCACCTTCACTCCCCGTTGTGAGCCACAAAAATACCGAATGAACCTGCTGTCTTCCAGTTGTCATAAACACACTTATAAACTGGACAATATGTGTTCTACTAGTTTTTGCTTTTCTCTAAACTCTCTGTGCTTCCACTTTAATATTTTTCCCCTTTTCTTTCTGTAAAAGAAACCGCTTCTGTGTTTTGTAAATGTGAACATGAGGCCACCTCCAAATACTAAAAAAAGTATTCTCTCACTTCAGTGGCATGTCAGGTATTTTTGGTGTGTCCCTTAAAGCTGCCAGTATGCTGTTAGTGGTGTTTTCCCTGTTGTGCACAGTACATTTTTATTTGCACCATATCCCAGTGGGAATTGTGGGCTTAACGGGAAAGAATCACATGTAAAGGCTGATTGAGTGCCAGCTGCAACGTGTTTCCTCGACTTTGAGCATTTTAAATTCCCTTCCACATAGTCATTGTTAGAAAAAACACACAAGATCAGAAGATAGGGAGAGGTTGTTTATTGTTTCAAAAATGACTCCATACATCATTCTCAGCAAAGGTCACAAGCCTCCCACGCTTCTTCATATTTTGCCAGCAAAATGGGAAATAGATGCAACGGTCTGTTTAACATAGTGCAAACATAAATCGACACCCTTCCACTGATATCGTTTCTGATGGGGCTTTGGTGTACAGTATATGATCAACTGGAGGCCCAGATCCATCTCTGTAGTCCACTGTCAGCACTTTGCTGTATTTTTTCCCTGTTTCTTAAAGACATCACTTTCAAATACTGTTCACTTGCATACCTTCCAATGTGACAAGAATAATCGAAAAGAAAGGATAAGCATATCGCTTTCATGTTATGTATTATGTGGTTGTGTGATGAAGCCAAAAAAGTCAGTCTTATATTCTGATTTCTAAAGTACATGATTAAGTTTTTAAATATTAACTTTATTTTAAATTGTTCCCAGATTTTTAAAGGGTGCTGTAACATTTTTGTATTATATATGCAGGTTTCATATAAAGACACATCTGTGTTTTTTAAATAAATGTTGAGCTAGTGGAAATCAGCAGTTAGGCATTTTCACATGAATTATCTTACAAACAGTGTTTTTGCCAGTCTTGTTTTGTGTCATGTAAAATATACAGTAGCCTGCATCATTTAGAACAGGGGTTGGCTATAATTTTTTCCAAAGGGTCACAAATGTCAGTAAATGTCAAGCTGGTGGAAATCAGCAGTAAGGCATTTTCACATGAATCGTCTTACAGTGTTTTTGCCAGTCTTGTCTTGTCATCATGTCATGTTAGCAGTTTCATTCTGTGTGCTTGAATGTTTATGAAACCTCTCACTGTTTGCATCTGCGAATGAGTAATGCTTGTTATAAAGTTGTGCTCGGTCACAAATCCTGCATGCATTATGTCATGAAGTGATTGTAACAGGAAACTGATGTGAGCTCAAAGCTACTGTTGTTTCTTCAGTGACAAACACGACATAACTTTGAAGGATTCACTTGCATGCATCCATACATAAATAAAAGTCAAAACTTCAAAATAAAAGCATCACACCCTGCATAGCATGAAATAGTTTTCAGTTATCTTTTATTGTTTACAAGTGACTGCACGCGGACCAGAGTGGAAGGGTTAAGAGGCTGAGTGTTGCCCACAGGCTTTAAAAAACCCTGGTCTGTCAACAGGTATGTCTTCAATGGTAAAAAGGTGAATTCTCTGCTAAGTGTCTGTAAAGAGTTTATGGGGGCTAGAATATCAGATATATATGCTTCAGTTAAGTGTTAAACAGGAATCAACAGCTCCCCTCTCTTTTGACAGAATAGAGCAGGGGTGTCGAACTCCAGGCCTCGAGGGCGGTGTCCTGCAGGTTTTAAATAACACCCTGGGTGAACACACCTGAATCAAATGATTAGTTCATTACCAGGTTTCTGGAGAACTTCAAGACATGTTGGGGAGGTAATTTAGCCATTTAAATCCCCTGCGTTGGATCAAGGACACATATAAAACCTGCAGGACAGGGTCCCTTGAGGCCTGGAGTTTGACACCTGTGGAATAGAGGTTTCAATCGGAGTCTAAAAGGATGTGACAGAGTGGAGAAAAAGAAGGTAAGAATGAGGCTGACCTTTCCTTCAGACTCTCTGGAGAAAGGAGGACACAGACAAGTTAAGTACACGGCTGTCAAAAACCAAGCAAACTGGTAAACAAGGCTAGGTAGTGAGAGATGTTTATAAAACTACAACACGAGTAGGATATTGGAGTGAGTCTAGAGGTGTGGGACCTGATTGACCCTAGGCACAGACCGAAGGGCAGCAGGTCAAACCGGTGGTGGGCATGGTGCAAAGGCGTCACCGGTCTTGGTCCTGGTTTTCATGAGAAAGGCTGCTGTCGGGGTTGGGGGCTCTGGCCTTTGAAGTTGGTGAGGGCTTGACTGCCTCTCTACACTTGGCGGTGGTTGTCTGTCTGGAAGCCCTTAATCCTTCTCCTGGAGGTCTCCTTGGCTTGTTTGATGCCCCTCCTCGGGTTGGCTCTGGCAGTGCTCTCCAGAGAACTGTCCCCCAGCCTGAAGGCTGTGTTTCGAGTTCTGATCAGAGCCTGTTCTTCATTCGTCTACCAGGGTTTCCGGTTAGGAAGAACTCAGGTGGTTTTGGTCACTGTCACATTCACTACACACCACTTAGAGTAGAAAAGGACAGACAGAGTGAAGGTCTCCAGGTAGTCCTGTAAAGTCCTGTAGCTGGAGGGGAGCATGCTCGAGCCACAAGATCTACATCTACAACATATAACCCAGTGTAATGTATTAAATATAATGAGATGTTTCTAAATGGTTGAACAGCAGCATGTGACTGCAACATTAAATCCCAAGGAAAAATCTGGACCTTAAATCAAATCCGATGACATTGTGTTTTATAAAGAATTTTAAAAAGAGCAAAAAAAACAAACAAACCAAAAAATGAAAAAATTATGCACTCCCTAGTATGTTTTGGGTATGTGGTATCCATATGGGTATCCGTAAAGTAAAGTAAGAAAAATAAGCACAGAGTATTGATTTATTATCTAATTCTGTTGAATATCTACAAATATACAAATAAACAATGTGTATATAAAATGTAGTAATAGTTATGTATATATAGTCCAATAAATTGTTATGTAATAAAAAGTAATAAAGTAATAAATAAAATAATAAGTAATAAAAGTAATAAAAAAAATCACACACACATTCAATTATTCTTATCTTCTTATTTATTTAAAACTTAATAATACAGGAGGTGCTATTAAATATTAAATATAAACATGCAATATAATATATAATATATATACTGTATATCATGAGCTTGTCCTGTTAGTAGCTTAAAGGTATGTTCTTACCAATTTAGTAAAGACACAGTACAATAAATGCCAAACATCTTCCCGAAAGTCACATATATAAAAATAACTTGGGTCAAGGTGATTAAAAGTAGGTACTTACAAAGAAACAGAAATATTGCATTTTTAGAGGGATCAGTGAGAACTGGGGTGCTTGTAATAATGGTATTGTCAACTAACCATTTGACAGTTACAAGCTTTATCTTTCAAATAAATCATGCTTTACAGTACATTTATACATTCAATTGTATGATTCAAAAAGTGCAAATAGTTGCCATTTACAATTTAGTTCAGTGCAAAAAAGAGGCATAGAAATAACAGTCACAAAAATTTCAAATGACAAACAATATTAGCTGATAGCAGTTTAGCTTATGTGACCGTTAAGCTGTATGCTAACATTCTTGCATGCCTTGCTTCCTGTTACACTGATAGCTAAGGTGTTAGCTACTGTTAATTTCAAACCAACACTAGCTTGGATATCCTAGTTACTACTTTAGCTTTTTAAGACTTTGAAAGATAATGGTCATATTGCATTACTGCATGTATAAGTTAACAACACTGTGCACTAATTAGCTGTGTAACAGTAGTAATTATCGAGCACACATTTGGGATGCGTTCAAAAACAGAGCAACATGGTTTGGATGGAAATGAGCGTTGAACATTTAATGCATTACTGATAGCAACTTGTAAGTAATATCACTAATAACTAATTCTGGATTTTTTAAATTTAAACAGTTGAAAAGTAATGCAATCCCTAATCAAGTTAATTTTTTCTATAATGCATTATTGAGTAAACATATTTCAGTTAATGAATTAATTCAATTGAGTTACATGTTCTTCAATTATTTAGGTAACAAAAAGATTAAAAAGATCACATTTTAAAACATTTTCATGTGTGCTTGCACAACAATAACTAATGTAAAAATAAAATGTGTGATAGAAATATGGCTGGTTCTTTGATTTTATGCTTACACCAGCAAAGTGCCCAAATGTTAAGCTTCAATGGTCTTTCCTTTTAGGGTAGAGTTTTACAAATTAATGGGCATTTCTAAGGTTCAGTGTTATATTGTTAATAGACCATGTAAGAGAACATCCCTGTAATGAGTACTTTAACACTACATTCTTCTGAGGATAAAAAACCCCTATGCATTACTCTTAGTGTAGCACTATTTTAGAGTAAGAAAACCAGCACTGAGTAAATAAAAATTAATTACTTGTTCTAAGACAAAAACAAGGGAATAGCTAATAACTGACCATACATAGATCAGACAGTGGTGATCTAAGATGAACATTTATAAAAATGAAATGGAGCGACTGAAGAACAGAGTCATGGTTGAAATCAGTGAAAATATTAACGTTGTTAAAGATGTAGGTCTTCCCAAGAAACAGTTTAGGTGATTTGCAGTGATCATCTATGTCCAAGATGTGATGCAAAGGCAGAGCTGTCACGTTGGAATATTTCCCATGAACCCATAGCACATTCCTGAACACAACGCTCTTCACAGACACACTTTCCACAGTCCCAATGTACACTAAATAAAGAGATACACAAGTACATTACATTAAAAACCCATAAAAAAATTTAAGAACAACATTTGTTCCAATATTGAAAATTATAGATGATATCTTACTTTCTTTGCAGAGATCACTTGTGTTTAGATTATTCAAAGATAGAAGTCTGGATCCTAAAAAAAGAACATTACAGGCATATTATTGGTCAAACGCATTACCTCAACTGTGCTATGAAGTCAAAATGACACAAAATGAAGTTTAACTTTGTGAGAGGACATTTAAGCAGACACAACAGACCATGCATCATGTTTCTCTGATCCTTTCCTGGTTCATGGATTCTTCTCAGCCTCTCCGCACAGCATGAGCACAGGCTGGTGTTGTAATAGAGGTGACCACAGCATCCAAATCCTGTCTTGACAGAGTAAAGCACCTCTTTTTCCTGGCTTGAGCAGCAAATATCCTGGTTTTGAAAAGATATATAATTCATTATGGTTAATGAAAGCATAATCGTTTGCAACCAGTGAGGCCACAACATTAAGTTCAGTCAGTAATTTTGGTACGTTGGCTGAATTTAGCTATATTTTTTGCACATGGGAACGAAGAATGGATTTGACTTAAGTTATTCTGACTGTCAGATATACAGTAAATAGATCCAGAGTGCAGTTCAAACATAGATTTCACTATGGCCTTAGAGAAAACTGCTTAGAGGAGCTCACTGAGCCTGATATTAACAATAACTACTCCAACTTCGCAACTGTTTTATGTTATAAGATCTTATGATTGTCACGGCCAGGGGATCAGCAGGCCGCTGACTAGTAGCGTTCTCTCTCTCTCTTGTTCTCTCTCTTGCTCTCTCTCTCGCTCTCTCGCCAGGGCGGAACTCATGGTGGATTCATGCCCTTGGCCCACGCCAGTGCAGCCAGCATTTAAGCCAGGGAGTGGCTTCTACTCATTGCTGGATCTTCGCGTGTGACTCGCGTCAGTGCAGCCCAGCTCTGAGCAAGTTCTTCCCTGCGCAAAACCTCTAACGTGTGTTTCCTTCTGTACATAGATCCCTGGACCCGACCCTGCATTCCCCGAGTGGATTCCTGTTTTTTTGTGAGTGTTTGGAGAGAGACTGGTCACGATAGGAGAGAGTCAGAAGAGGAGCAAGTGTCTTTTCCCTACCTGGATTTCCCCGGAGCCTTTTCCCTGTCACCGCTTTGTATATAGCACTACCCCTGCACTAATTGTATATACACCTGGTGGAACTGTAATAAATACCAACTGTGCCTCTGAGTCCTGCATGTGAGTCCTCAAGCGAACCGTGACAATGATATAATACAGTGTAAGACATGAATAGATGCACAAACAACAGATCCTCAGATAACACCATTAATAAATCTACCTGTGGCTTTTGCAGGATGGATCCGCAGCACTGAGCGTCCCCTCCATGCTTGTCTAATGATGTCAGATTGTACAGTGTTCCTGCACAGCACTTCATCTGTGGGTCTTTAATGTTGTAGGCTTTGACCCCACAGCAGTGAAGGTTTTCTGATTTGGGGTGTCTGAGTGGAAAACAGAGGTAGCAGTTAGAATTAAATTAAGTACAGTGACATAAAGAAGTATGCTCATAAGAGGCTAAGTGAACCCCAAGTTGCTGCTGTTACACTCCGAATATTAGTACAAAGTACTTAGGCTCATAAATGAGCTGTATGAATGTCTATATTTAAGTGAATGATGCTTATAGAAGTAAGTGCTTTGAGTGTTTGCTTGAGTAGAAAGACAATATATAAGTACTAGCCCACTTAGATCACTGCTTATGTATGTTGCTTGAAGTCAGCCTGAAAGATAACTTCCTCTCTGCTTCAAAACAGTGTTTACACAGGGTGAAGTGAAAGAAACACACTATCAGAGCAATTTCAACACTCAGAGTCTACACAGAATGCATTTATACCCAGTGTTGCTGTTACTGTACAGCTACTGTAGCTGAAAACAGCCACAATTCAACGAGTTCAGCTGATCTGGAACTAACCATAAAACAGAAACTGAGATCTGAACGTGATATTTTATACATCAATACTTCTTTCAACCCATATGAGAAATACTGAATGATGAAATAACGGTAAGGGCAACACAGTAGTGTGGTGAATAGGGTTATTACGTCACAGCTGGAGGGTTCTGAGAAATCCGACTGAAAACAAAAAGGCATCCCAGGAGATGAGTCATGCACACAGACAGGGTTTTTAAACATAAAAATTTCAAATGGCAGTCAGAGTCAGGGACTCAGACAGGCTGACAAAGAGAGGTTTGGCACAGTAAGTTAAGAGGAAACAGATGAAGCTGAATTTCTGCTCCGGTAATTATGTGTCTTCCTATCTCAGACACCATGTCTGTTTAAATGGATTGTGCCATGCAGATGTTTTTTTAATCCCTTCGTTCTCACAGAAGAGACAGAATAAGTTGTTCCCATGCTCCCGTGTTCCCATACTGATTCTAAAAAAAAGGAGGAAATTCCAGTTTTCATCAGCAATGTAAAGTAATTAAACAAATCACACATGTTCTGATTTGTATGGGTGGAAAACAGAGGTACTAATTATAATTAAATATGGACAGCGACATGAAGAAACATGCTCCTAACAGGCTGAGTTAGAGTTCTCATGTTCACTGCTGGATGCCAGCTTGAAAGATAATGTCTTTACCACAGTCTTTACACAGGCTGGGAATTAAAAGTAGAACATCATTAGAGCTACAGCTTCATCTCTCTGTTAGTGTCCACATAAAAAAAATAAAAAAATCAGTCACTGAAAGACATAAGTCATGACCAGACAGGGTGTAACAACTAACAGTTAGCACCAAACCCAATAAAAGACCCAGACAGGCTGTTTGAGAGATTCCTTGGCACAGTAGTTCAGCGCATTTTCCAAGGGAAAAAAAGAACGTCTGCCTTTCTCAGACGGTTTCGTGCGAAATGTTTTTTTTCCCTGCTTCACCTTTCTCAGACGGTTTCTGTTTTCACTCAAGAGACAGACTACATATAAAAAATGTTTCCATACTTTCGGCCACCCTGTCTGACAAAATTCCAACTAGCGTTATATTCCAACTGATTAAAACAACAAAGTTAAAGAACTAATTTTTCACTGGACTTTCTCAGCAATGTAAAGCAGCAACGCAAACACACTCACTCACACACACACGCACACAATCACCTGTGTCCATTGCAGCAGATCTCAGTACGAGGCCGGTAAATTTCCGTCCCACAGCAGTGTTGTCCCGGGCTGCCATAAAACTGAGAACAACATAGAGTCCCTTTAGCCGGATTGTAAGGAATACACATCTCTGAACATTCCTCTCCATCATCTCTGCCCTCGTACAAGGTGTCATTACAACAGAGAACTCCACGTTATGCTGAGCAATACACAGCACTTGAAGAATCAGAAATAATGCAGTAAATTGCTCAACAATGCACAAACAGCCAAACCCTTTTATTTGTGCATTTAAATGCACATGGATGAACACATAAATTTATGAGTTTTTACAAAAAGAAGATGAAATGCAAAAATCAGGAAAAAAACAAAAAGTTGAAACAATTCAAACATTACACAGGTCTCATTTCCACACATAACATATCTAATTTTTTTTTTGTCTTACCAGATTTATGGACCTTTTGCAGTAGTGGTAACCAAAACCAACACCGCTAGACGAGTTTAAACATCAGATTGAAAAACACCCTCAGTTACTGTATAAGAGGAGCGGGGTGGAGCTCTAAGCTCTCTCATCGAAGCTGCACAAAAACAACCTTTTTTGTCTGGGATCACTAGGTACCATTGCTGTCAGTTATTTGTGTAAAACTGAACATTGCAGCATGAGGCCCTTCATTTTTAATAACAAAAACTTTAATGAAAAATCTCGCCAAAATGCCATTAATATGTTTTTCCCTTTTGTTTTTTTAAGGAAACAGTGCTTTAGGCTTTAGCCATAATTTGAAAGCTTGATTTCATTTTCCTACAGAAAAGGAGATTAAAACTGTTGAGCTTTGCACTTTACACTGATTAAAAAACACAAACAGCTGGGCAGGCCCAGAAAAGGAAAAGAAAAACCCAAAAAACAATTTGTACATTACTTGATCTAGCCACGGCTTGCATCGAAATACGGATCCATCACAGCAGACTTCTATACGTGGGTCATACACCCTGGCCTTGCTTTGACCTAAACAGATAGGTGTGAGGGTTGGGGTGGGTTGGGGTTAGGTGGAAAGAAGAGATAGTAGTTGCAGTAAAAATAAAACATGTTGCGATTAATGATGTCTTGTGTGTAACTTTGTTACACACAAGTTGCTTTATTCTCCCTCCTTTGCAAAATACTGACTATAAAATAAAGGAATTCGGTTGGTTTCCAAGTCTTTGTAGGAGGCATCTGGGGCTAGGTTGGTAGAAGAGCTGTCCCCACTATGCATTTCATTGGGCAAGATAGTCAACAAGATACTGAGTTACCACTGATGCATACACGGTAGTGTGAGTGTGTCTGAATGTTAGATAAAAGTGCTTAGTCCTACATGTAAGTGACTGGGTGAAAGGGATTTATAGTAGAAAGTGTTTTGAGTGCTCAACTAGTGCAGGAAAATGCAAAAAAAAAGGATAAAGGTTAACACTACACACCCTGATGTGGGCTGTTAAGCATACCAGACATTTCTGAACAGCTCACATATTATGGAAAGACCAAACCACATGTTTAAAACCCTCCACCTCCGGGCTTAGAGCTTTAATTCTCCACACTGGAATACTTGACATGAAGGGAGTGTAAACTCTCAGAAGTTAATGCCTTATGGTGATTAAGATATGGTGATTTTAAAAAAAAAACGTCTTTTGTGGAGTACAGTAACTGATATAGATGCCAAGATTTTGAACAAACCAGCTGCTGCACATCCTTTTTTGGATTCAAAGATAATCCTGAGTTATCCCTTTTTATTCATTGCAAAGCTTTAATGTTTTTCATAGGGTGGTTCAAAAAGATGGAAGCTCTTTCAATTGTGTGGTCTGGGGGAAAATATCAAGACCATTTTCCCATAGCAATTTAACCTTTTGCTAATATGAACAATGAAATCTTTCTCTATGTAGGGAGAAAAAAAGTTTTTATTTGTAAGTGAACCACCCTTCCGCGCAGCTTACATTTTCCATGATTTTGATCTTGGCAAGATGTACTGTCTGGAAAAATAAAGACACACTTCACTGTCTGAAAGTTTGATTAAAAAAAATACTTAAAGTCTTCAGGGAACCCTTAGAAAAAAAAAGTCTTTGTCTAACTTTCTAACTGTCAGAGTTATTTACACACCCAAGATAAGAATGTCAATGTGAACTTCTTTTAAAACAGTCCCTCTTTTTGGGCAAAAGCCATTTAACTTAAGGCCTAAAACTGTCTCTGTGGCAGATTTGATTTGATGGATTTATAACAGTGTTGGCGGTTACAGTTAAATTACAACAACTCAGTAGTTGAACTAAAGTTCAGGGTCAGTCATTGTAGTGCAGCGCTTGACATGGTTGCCTCACAAGAAGAAAGTGCTGGGTCCTAGTCTGCAGACTGATCAGCTGTTCAGGGGCTCATCCTGCCTCTGGTTGGAAAACAGAGCCTTGCAGCTGGGGTACGTTTCAACCCCATGATGACTCTGACTCTTTCCTGACACTAAACACACTATAATAATTATAGTTGGGTTTTTTTTTTAAATCACCATACAGGCATGAGGTCCATATGGAAGGTCAAGTGAGAAAAGACTGTGTATTATGCAGTACCTTATTGACTTGCATAACAACATATCAACGTTCTGTCAGGACTATTGCTGCAAGTGACTAATCACATTGTTGTAAAAGGAACCCTTAAAGTTCTAAAGCATGGCTGTTAGTAGGAAGACTTCACATAAAGAGTTCATGTATAGATGACAATGTGTTGGATGAATTACTGAATCAAACAGAAATAATTTTATTCGACCCATAGCCATGATCTTTCCTTAGTTATACTGTTATCTGGGCCTGAGCTTATTTTTAGATAGAATAAGGCTAACTGGAAAACTGTTCTCTGGGCTGATGAATCACACTTTCAGCTGCCAACATCATCCAAGCTAAATACGGACCAATAAAACGTTATTTACGGGTACCATTATAGAGGCATAGGGCCAGGGTAACTTGAAAGCACCATTAATAATGAACATGCTTTGGAGGAACACGTGCAGATAAGATTGCATTCTTTTCAGTCTGTAACTATCATAAAAGCATGGCTGATAAACTGATGCTTCCCTCAGGATCTGCCACCCAATAAAAACATCTGGCACTTTGTGGAAAACTAAAGAGACAAAAAACTGGCTAGCACTTGAAACATGAGACTGTGAAAACATGCGACTTCAAAAGCTATTTGATCTCCTAATTTCTTACAAGTTGTGTAAAAAGACAAGAGGATGCAGCACAGTGGGAAACATGCCCCTCACCTAAACATTTGGAAAAGGGTTTTTTGGTATTGACTTCACAATGAGCAAACAGGTTACAGTATAATATAATATAGTTTCATCATCCTAGATGAAAGTTCTTTAACAACATCTTGTCAATAGAACCTGTTAAGCTTGTTATTTTATCTCTTTATAGTTTTCCATTCTAGGGATTTTCCAAAATGAGATGGTGTCACAAAAGCAAATGATGCAATGTTCCCTTTAGGGGAAATTTATGCTGCAAATAAGTTTTTGTTTTTACACGGTTGCACGTAAGATAAACATGTTTAAACTGCTCACTCAGCTCTGACTGCTTTCTTGGAGCGTGGGCTGTTCCTTATCTGATTCAACTCACTCTACAGGCCCACATAAAAACCATGGGATGATGCAATGTCACATACAATGATCAATGATAGATAGAACATCTGCAGGGAAGCTTTAAGAGTGTTCTTAGTTTTGTTTTTGTTTTTGCAGGACTATGCAGAGTTCTTGAAAACTTTCCCTGGCACACACTCACTCAAAGAAACAGCTATGGAGACGGTAATACCTGAGGCGCAGAACCAAAAAGGCTTTTGGTGTCTCTCACAGCAACGATGCGTCTTTGGATTGTAACATGTCGACCCACAGAGATGTGTGTTTGGTTCAGTGCTGTGGATAGACAAACACAGCCAAAATAAACACAAAAACCACTCCATATCACTGGTACACTACCACAGAGCAGAACAGAAAGTATTAACAGGTATATTTATTTTTACCGGCTACTGGATAGCATCACACTTTACTGCGTGTACTCGGATTTCATTCAGTAAAGATTAAATCTGTGACCTCAATCCAACTGAAAGAAATTGGTGGACCAGGCTTAAAGCCAATTGTGTGTCTATAAACCAACAAATTTCAATTAACTAACCCCCAATTAACCAATTCTGTCAAGAAGAGTGATCAAATTTATGCCAAAAGCTTGCTCATGGCTAACAAAAGTATGTGGTTTAGGTGCGACTTACTAAGGGACATTTAACTTAGTTGGGGTGTATTTAGACTTTTGGCACTGTGGGGATTACAGAAGATCAAAAATCATTTCAAAATTGTGCACCCATTGTTTTTTAAATTATTAAAGTTGTGTGCTGTATAGTCTCTCATGAAAAAGAGCAGTTCAAAGAAATAATTTAAGCACAAATTTACTATGATATTCATGCCAGTGATGAGTCTATGTACACTGTTGAGCACAACTGTAAATAAACTCAAATTAGAGTAGAACATTTCCTACAAAGCCTGAATGCATGATAGTTAATCTTGACTAGATTAAATTTACATTTGTCTACATATGACATTATAGTAAAAATTGTTATAGTAAAACCCATTTACTTACCAAAAGTGTTGGAGCTCATGTGTCTGAAAAATATAAAACATAAAGGCAAACATTCATATATTTGCACAAAAAAGTAAAAGAATGATATTTTATTGCAGTATGTATCTTACCAGTTGTTGAAAACCTGTAAAGATAAAGCACAAAGCCTTTTGAAGTGGAAAACTAAACTAAACCAAAATAATTGCCATTAACTCATCATTTGTCATTACATTTTAATAGAAAATATGAAGCTAAGAGTTAAATCTTAAATAGATTTGTAAGATATGCATGAGACTGCATTTGACCATTTCTGACCTTCAGGGTTAGCTGACTCCTTTGCACAGCAAGATGAATGCTTCGGTTGTACCTCCAGAACACCTTCATTCTCACAGCAGCACTGAGTCCTGTTGTCATACTGGTGGTGACCGCAGCACTGGTGGAAAGTGGAATTCCTCACCAGACTCTTCTTATTATCATTCGGACCACAATGCAGAATTCCCACATTTTGCACTCCTGTGAAAAAAAATCAGATACTAAAAACTGTAAGACTTATACTTCAGTCGTAGCTAATTCATGTTTAGCTTATACTGTACGAGAAAACCGTAAAAATAATAATTGCAATGCTGCTTCAAGCAGCAAACCTTGTGTTTATTGCAAGGGAGAGCAACACAACCTCCAAATCTGCGGAAAGCTCAAGGACAAGCCTCATAAGGACAAGATTGAGTTTTTAAGGAGCATAGGACTGTGTTTTGCCTGTTTGAAACATGGTCACATGAGTAGCAGCTGCAAATGCTCTCGACTGCATCCTACCCTGCTGCACATCACCAATAGGGACTCACAAGAAGAAACAGCAAGGGGGGCGGCTCAACAGTTCGTATCAAGTGCTCTTGTACAAACAACAGCAACTTTCAGCATGACTGGGGCCGGTAAGGAAGATTGTATTCTTCCAATCGTTCCAGTACGTGTCAAGGCCCAGAAAGGAACCAAGACAGTAACAACATATGCATTCTTGGATCAAGGCAGCTCAGCCACCTTTGTGACAGAGTCACTGATAAAACAACTGAACCTGAACGGACGAATTACGAAAATCTCACTCCGAACGATGGGAAATGAATCTGTTGTGAACACCTGCATTGTGACTGGACTGGAAGTCAGTAGTCTGGATGGTAGCCAGTTTATTAAACTTTCAGAGGTGTATGCACAAGACCACATTCCTGTAAGTAAAAACAATATCCCATGCCAGGAGGATGTTGACAGGTGGTAACACCTGACGGAAGTGAAACTTCCCACTATCCAAGCGGATGTTGGATTACTCATAGGAGTGAATGTTCCCAAAGCCATGGAACCGCTTAAGGTGGTAAACAGCGTGGACAATGGACCCTACGCAGTGAGAACAATATTAGGTTGGACAGTAAATGGACCACTTAGGAGTGGAGGCGACATGAGTGGGAGAAACAGATTGGCACAAGTGACTGTGAATAGGATATCAGTAGCCAGGTTGGAAGAGCTCTGGCAGCTACAGTTTAAGTAAGACTTTCCTGATGCGGGACAAGACGAAAATCTTGAAATGTCCAAGGAAGATCGTCAGTTTCTGAACATGGTGTCTCAGTCTGCAAAACTGGAGGATGGCCATTATAGTATTTGTCTTCCAGTGAGAAGCAAGGCGCTGTGCTTGCCAAGCAACAGAGAAGTCGCAGTGCAACGTGCGCTGAACTTACAGAAAAGATTCACCAGAGATGTCAAGTTTTACGAAGAATATGTTGCATATATGGATGATATCCTAAAAAAGGGTTACGCGATCAAACTGAACGATGCTGAATGTAAGTCACTGGAGGGACGAACATGGTATTTGCCTCATCATGGAGTGAGACATCCAGTCAAGCAAAAGTTACGTGTTGTCTTCGACTGTGGGGCAAGCTTTCAAGGAACATCGCTGAACCAGCATCTCTTGCAGGGACCGGATTTGACAAGCTCACTGGTGGGAGTCCTCCTGAGGTTTCGACAGGAGACTGTGGCAGTAATGGCTGACGTGGAGGCCATGTTCCATCAGGTCAGAGTCAGCAAGGAAGATACAGATCTCCTCAGGTTTCTTTGGTGGTCTGATGGGAATTACAAGGAGAAGCTTGCAGAACACAAAATGTTGGTCCACATCTTTGGTGCCACCTCTTCGCCAAGTGTTGCATCTTTTGCACTTCAGAAATGCGCTACTGATTTCGAAAGGGAATTTGGTCAAGAAGCTGCAAGGACAGTCAAGAAAAAATTTTATGTGGATGACTGTCTTAAGTCAATTGCAGAGGAAGACGCAGCAATCACCCTGTGTTCTGACTTGAGGAACATGTTGGCAAAAGGCGGATTTCGACTAACAAAATGGTCAAGCAACAGCAGAAAGTTGCTCAACTCAATTCCTGATGAAGAAAGAGCACAAGGATTTAAAGTTCTGAATCTGGACGAGAGTAATTTGCCGATGGAAAGAGCATTGGGAATTCAGTGGTGTGCTGAATCAGATCAGTTCAAGTTCAAGATCAACCTTAAAAACAGACCGAACACTAGAAGAGGACTGCTTTCCCTTCTCAGCTCCATCTTTGATCCACTGGGATTTGTTGCTCTGGTGATTCTGTGTGCAAAAAAAATCTTGCACGATTTATGTCGGAGGAAATACGGCTGGGATGAATCCCTACCAGAGGATGTCATTAAGAGCTGGAATAAGTGGGTTGCAGATTTGCAAAGGCTTGACGACTTTGGAGTTGACAGGAGCATCAAGTCAAAGCATTTTGGTGCACCAGTCTTTGCGCAGCTGCATCATTTTGCTGACGCAAGCGAAGACGCTTATGGAACAGCAAGCTACCTGTTGCTGCGCAATGCAAGTGGCGAGACTCAGTCCACCTTGGTAATGGCAAAGGCAAGGGTTGCACCTTTGAAGTGTCCAACCATCCCACGAATGGAACTGATTGCCGCAACAGTTGCAGTGAAGATGGATAAACTTCTAAAGAAGGAACTAGAAGTAGAACTGCATGAATCTGTTTTTTGGACAGATAGCACGGCTGTGCTAAAGTACTTGAATAGTGAAGGCACAAGATTCAAGACCTTTGTTTCTAATAGGATCTCAGTGATCTTAAGCCATTCTCACATTCGGCAGTGGAGATATGTCAATACCACTTTGAATCCAGCAGATCATGTCTCTAGAGGACAGACTGTTGCAGCATTCTTAAAATGTGGCGATTGGCTTTCGGGTCCAAGTTTTCTATTCTGCTCAGAAGATCAGTGGCCGAAGAATCCAGATCCCAGAATGCTGGATTTTGATGACTTAGAGGTCAAAAGAGAAGCTCAGACACATGTCATTCAGATGCAAGGGCTCAAAGACTCAGTAGACCAGCTGATGAATCACTACTCATCTTGGACAAAGCTAAAGCGTGCTGTAGCCTGGTTCATGAAACTGAAGAGTTTGCTTAAGGAATTAATAGCAAAGAGAAAGGAAGCAAGCACAATGAGTGAGGAAATCAGGATGAGCCAATTCAAGAAAGCTTTCAAGGGAAAAAATCTAACCTGTGACGATTTGTCTGAAGCAGAAATGGAAATTGTGAAGTACTGTCAGAAGCAAAGTTTTGAACAGGACTTGGCAATGCTGAAAGAACATCAAAGGGTGAAGAAAAAAGGCTCTCTCTACAAGTTGACTCCAGTACTGCAAGATGGAGTCATAAGAGTTGGAGGAAGGTTGAGTCGAGCAGCAATGCCAGATGATGCTAAGCAGCAAGTCATCTTGCCAAAGGACTCACATATCACACAGCTTGTGTTAAGACATACCCATGATGTTACAGCTCACGCCGGACGGAATCACATGTTAGCTCATCTGCGTCAAAAATTTTGGATCCCTGGAGCAAATGGAGCCATTAGAAGGTTCTTGTCAAAATGTGTTACCTGTAAAAGGCTACACGGAAGTGCTGGCAAACAAATAATCGCAGATTTACCAAAATGCAGGATCCTGCCTGATGACCCTCCATTCACCAAAGTAGGTGTTGACTACTTTGGTCCATTCCTGGTAAAAAGGGGAAGAAGTCAAGTAAAGAGATATGGTGTCATTTTCACATGTCTTACCACACGAGCTGTACATCTGGAGGTTGCATCTTCACTTGACACTGATGCGTGTCTCAACGCCATCAGAAGATTCCTTGCCAGAAGAGGACAAGTTAAAGAGATGTACTCAGATAATGGAACCAACTTCCGATCAGCTAACAGTGAGTTAAAGAAAGCAATTAAAGAATGGAACTCCAGTATGATCATAAAATCATTGCAGCAAAGGGGGATCCAATGGCATTTTAATCCACCAGCAGGATCTCACCATGGAGGAAGCTGGGAGAGACTCATCCGCTCAGTGAGAAAAATTTTGAACATCACAGTAAAAGAACAACTGTTGGATGAAGAAGGTCTCCACACCTTGCTGTGTGAAGCTGAGGCTATTATGAACAGCAGGCCTATTACAAAGGAATCTTCAGATCCCAATGACCTGGAGGCTTTAACACCCAACCATCTCCTGTTGCTGAAGGTTAAGCCAGAATTACCCCCAGGAATCTTCAACAAGGATGCCCAGTATGTAAATCGCAGGTGGAGACAAATCCAATACCTTTCAGACATTTTTTGGAAACGCTGGTGCAAGGAATACCTCATGCAGCTCCAAGAGCGTCAACGATGAACTACACCTAAGAGAAATTTCCATGTTGGTGATGTTGTGCTGATCGTAGATGACACAGCACCCAGAAATTCATGGCCACCAGGAAGAATCGTAGAGACCTTTCCAGACCAGAAAGGTCTGGTGCGTCAGGTGAAAGTAAAGACCAAGACCAATGAGCTTGGCCGACCAGTTACAAAGCTGTGCCTTTTGCAAGAAGCTGAAGATAATTGATGCACTCTTCGAAAGTCAAGAACTAGTTTCCTCTGAGGGGAGGAAAGTGAAAGAAGATTTCTTTAAGATAGTTGAAGTTCAGTTAAGTAATGTAGCCATAGACCTTTTCATTTAAGTTAAAGATTTTGGAGTAATTGTTTCAAAGACATTGATAACAATTAGGGGCCGGTAATGTAGAAGCCTACATGCAGTTTAATTTGAAATGTATGCTTTTATTTTGATAGTGCAGAAAAAACAGGAAGTTGGGCGAGAGGAGAGTGGAGCCACATGGTATTTTGACCTCGCAATCTCTCTTCATCCATTTTGAATTGAGCTTTATAAGTTTTCGTAAGTTGGAATTCTGTTGCTGTGTACCTGTTTGGACTTTTGAAGTAAATATTGAAAAAACTATCAAGGACTGTTTTTTGTTTTTTTGTTTTTTTTTGGATATGGAAAGAGGGACTAAGCGGAGCGTCAAGCTAAGGCTCCATTCGAAGGAAACCTACATGTACAATATGAAATAAAAAATAAATCTGTTGTTATTGGATTCGTCACACACAGCTGACATGTAAGTGTACGAAGTAATGAGTCACCCACAGTTGACATGTAAGTGTACAAAGTAATGAGTTACCTGTAGTGGAGCTCTTGTCACAGCAAGATGAATGCTTCGGTTGTACCTCCAGAACACCTTCATTCTCACAGCAGCACTGAGTCCTGTTGTCATACTGGTGGTGACCGCAGCACTGGTGGAAAGTGGAATTCTTCACCAGACTCTTCTTATTATCATTCGGACCACAATGCAGAATTCCTACATTATGCACTCCTGTGAAAACGAATCAGATACTAAAAACTGTAAGACTTATACTTCAGTCATAGTTAATTCATGTTTAGCTTTGTGTTTATGTGTTTCTCGTACAGTATATCCTGCAATACTGCTTTTCACTGTAAAATGATTATCTTATGATTAGCTCTAGTTCAGTTTAAACAATATTCTGTGGAAATTTGTAAAAAACAAAACAAAACAAAACAGCTATCTGACACTATAGTTGCTTTGGTTTGTTGAGGCAACTATGGAAAGCTGTAGAGGAAATGACAAAGTCATCACCTCCAGTTATGAGTCTGGATTTTATTGGATTGCTATATGACAACTATTGGAGGATCAACAGCACTGTAGACATGGCAGATCTTTTATAAAATATGGTATCGCTTGTACAGAGTTTTGAATTAAGGGAGAAAAATACACACAAATGTGGCAGGTTTATTAGTTAGTCTGTAATTCTAGGATGTTTACTCAATCAAATACATTTCTCACCACAGTCTGATGTGCATTAAGACTCATATGTACAATATGAAAAAAAAATGGAACTGTTGTTACTGGATTCGTCACACACAGCTGGCATGTAAGTGTACGAAGTAATGAGTTACCCACAGTTGACATGTAAGTGTACGAAGTAATGAGTTACCCACAGTTGACATGTAAGTGTACGAAGTAATGAGTTACCCACAGTTGACATGTAAGTGTATGAAGTAATGAGTTACCCACAGTTGACATGTAAATGTACAAAGTAATGAGTTACCTGTAGTGGAGCTCTTGTCACAGCAAGATGAATGCTTCGGTTGTACCTCCAGAACACCTTCATTCTCACAGCAGCACTGAGTCCTGTTGTCATACTGGTGGTGACCGCAGCACCGGTGGAAAGTGGAATTTCTCACCAGACTCTTCTTATTATCATTCGGACCACAATGCAGAATTCCTACATTATGCACTCCTGTGAAAAAAAATCAGATACTAAAAACTGTAAGACTTATACTTCAGTCATAGCTAATTCATGTTTAGCTTATACTGTACAAGAAAACCGTAAAAATAATAATTGCAATGCTGCTTTTCACAGTAAAATGATTATCTTATGATTAGCTCTCTCATTTTAAATAATATTATGTGGAGGTTTGAGAAAAACAGCTAACTGACAGCATAGTTGGTTGGGTTTGTTGAAGCAATTGTGGAAAGCTGTAGAGGCAACAACAAAGTCATCACCTCCAGTAATGAGTCTGGATTTTATTGGATTGCTGTAAGACAACTATTGGAGGAGCAACAACACTGTAGACATGGCAGATCTTTTTTAAAGGCAAGTTTATTAATTAGTATTTAATTCTATGATGTTTACTCAATCAAATACATTTCTCACCAAAGTCTGATGTGCCTTAAGACTCATATGTACAATATGACAACAAGTGCAACTGTTTTTATTGGATTCGTCACACACAGCTTGCATGTAAGTGTACAAAGTAATGAGTTACCTGTAGTGGAGCTCTTGTCACAGCAAGATGAATGCTTCGGTTGTACCTCCAGAACACCTTCATTCACACAGCAGCACTGAGTCCTGTTGTCATACTGGTTGTGACCGCAGCACTGGTGGAAAGTGGAATTCTTCACCAGACTCTTCTTATTATCATTCGGCCCACAATGCAGAATTCCTACATTATGCACTCCTGTGAAAACGAATCAGATACTAAAAACTGTAAGACTTATACTTCAGTCATAGTTAATTCATGTTTAGCTTTGTGTTTATGTGTTTCTCGTACAGTATATCCTGCAATACTGCTTTTCACTGTAAAATGATTATCTTATGATTAGCTCTAGTTCAGTTTAAACAATATTCTGTGGACGTTTGTAAAAAAAAACAACAGCTATCTGACACTATAGTTGCTTTGGTTTGTTGAGGCAACTATGGAAAGCTGTAGAGGAAATGACAAAGGCTACGTTCACACTGCAGGCGAAAGCGCATCAAATCCGATTTTTTTGACCCTATGCGACCCATATCCGATCATGCTATGACAGTGTGAACGGCGCAAATCCGATATTTTCAAATCCGATCTGGGTCACTTTCGTATGTGGTACTGAATCCGATACATATCCGATGTTTTAGAAAGCGACTGCTGTTTGAACGGTCAAGTCGCATTAAATCCGCCTTTTACGTCACCGACACAAGACTGAAGCCAATTATCAGCGCCAGAGAAGCACCCGAGAAGACATCGCGAACGCTTCCTGGCCATCCAGTATAGATGTTAGTGAAACTGTTGGGAAGACAATGTGAACATTTTATTTGTACTGTATAATCTGCAGATTCTGACAGAAATCTGCAGCTATCATTTGAAGCACCGCTCCTCTCTTAAACAGCAATAAGGATCATTATTAGGTTATTTACATTATTATGTAAATAACAAAATAACTTAAAGCAAAAATTGGGAAACGAAGTCCGAAGTCTGCATATTAAGGGCCATCAGTCAAACAATACTGTTGCTCTGGGTCTAAACAGAGCTCGTTGTGTGTGACAGCTTCTTTTGCGCATGCGGGCCGCTTTGAGCGTTCACACTAGAGCGCGTTTGCTGTCGCATTTTATTTGTAGTGTGAACGAGCAGACAAAAAAATCGGATTTGATCAAAAAATCGGAATTGAGCATTAAGACCTGCAGTGTGAACGTAGCCAAAGTCATCACCTCCAGTTATGAGTCTGGATTTTATTGGATTGCTATATGACAACTATTGGAGGATCAACAGCACTGTAGACATGGCAGATCTTTTATAAAATATGGTATCGCTTGTGGGGCGATTGTGGCTCAAGAGTTGGGAGTTCGCCTTGTAATCGGAAGGTTGCCCGTTCGAGCCCCGGCTTGGACAGTCTCGGTCGTTGTGTCCTTGGGCAAGACACTTCCCCCCATGCCTACTGGTGGTGGTCAGAGGGCCCGGTGGCGCCAGTGTCCGGCAGCCTCGCCTCTGTCAGTGCGCCCCAGGGTGGCTGTGGCTACAATGTAGCTTGCCATCACCAGTGTGTGAATGGGTGGATGACTGGATATGTAAAGCGCTTTGGGGTCCTTAAGGACTAGTAAAGCGCTATATAAATACAGGCCATTTACCATTTATAGAGTTCTGAATTAAGGGAGAAAAATACACACAAATGTGGCAGGTTTATTAGTTAGTCTGTAATGCGCTTGTGAAGTGGCTGTTTGGTCTCTCCAATGTAGAGGTCTGGGCATTCCTCGCTGCACTGTACAGCATACACCACATTGTTAAGTCTGTGTTTTGGCGTTTTGTCTTTCGGGTGAACCAGTTTTTGTCTGAGCGTGTTGCTGGGTCTGAAATACACCGGGATGTCATGCTTGGAGAAAACCCTCCTGAGTTTTTCTGATACACCGGCCTCTACATTGGAGAGACCAAACAGCCACTTCACAAGCGCATGGCACAACATAGAAGAGCCACCTCCACAGGACAAGACTCAGCAGTCCATCTGCATCTTAAGGACAAAGGACACTCTTTCGAGGATGCTAACGTTCACATTTTGGACAGAGAGGACAGATGGTTTGAAAGAGGAGTGAAAGAAGCCATCTATGTTCACTGTGAGCGACCATCTTTGAACAGAGGCGGGGGTTTACGACACCAACTGTCTGCCATCTATAATCCAGTTTTGAGTTCCCTTCCCAGACGCCTTAACGCCCACTCACATCCTGAGCCATCTGATTTCAGGAATTCGCATGATAAGGTGGGGCCAGGTTTCACAATGAGCTCACCCGAAACTCTGGCTGATTGGGACCCACAACCAGTTTCACACCTTGGCTCAGGCGATTAGAGGATCATCAGGGGTCCTTTTGTCCCTCTGTGGGGGGAAACTCCCACTATGTTTATATCTGGGACTCTCCAATATTTGACCTTAGAACTGAAGAAGCTTCTCGGATGAGAGGTGAAACGTCTTCAAGTAACTTAAAGAAGTCCAGACGCTTTTCTTTGCAAACTCCTTTGGCTGTACAAACTAATGAGTCACCCACAGTTGACATGTAAATGTACAAAGTAATGAGTTACCTGTAGTGGAGCTCTTGTCACAGCAAGATGAATCCTTCGGTTGTACCTCCAGAACACCTTCATTCTCACAGCAGCACTGAGTCCTGTTATCATACTGGTTGTGCCCGCAGCACCGGTGGAAACTGGAATTTCTCACCAGAATCTTCTTATTATCACTTGCACCGCAACACAATTGCTTGTCCTTGGCAAAAGCCTCTGTGGAGAATACCATGGAGATTCTTAACTCTTTGGCCTCAACCATAACTAAGCTGATAAGCCTCTGCAACATTCTGCCGATGCTGATTATATTTTTTCCACTTGTATATTTGTTCTACTGAAGAATGAGGGATCCTTCTACACAACATTACCGTATGTTCAAATGAACATCTAGAACCACAAATCCATCTTCTTTTGTTTCCACTATTTCTCCTTACTTACATAAAATAAGTACATTTTGCAGTAGAAAATCACAACTCTCAAGAAGTCCTGTTTTTTGTTTGTAACACTGTCTGTCTTCGAATTTTGCCTTTTAATTATATAATATATGCTTAATGTGATGTTTTTCATCAGTGTGTCTGCTCACCTTTACCGCAACATTCAGCCATTAGTCCAGGTTTTGCAGTGATGGTTGATTGACAGCATACTTCATTGACAGGGTTGTAGGGCTTCAGCCCACAGCAGTTGGACACCTTTTCACTCAGACCATGAGTAACATTGGCTGTATAATAAAGACACAAACACTAGAAGCAGTGTAACAGCTGAAAGTGTCATGTTAAGTGTTAAATGGCCCACAGTTGTTCAAAAAAAGAAATGTTGCAATACCTCTGAATAAATGGAAACATCTGACTTAGTGATAGCAGATGAACACATACAGATGTGTGCAATGAATCCAGACTTCCCATCATTACTTTATTGTTCTTTTTCTGTTCATTTGCGCTCTGACAAAAAGCATGCTAATTTACAATAACAACAACAAGCACCCAAAAAGTTCAAACATAGCTATCCATAACTGGGTAATGATTTTCTTATTACAGTATCTGCCATGACTTTTTTTTTTTTTTACCAGAGTAGGGGGTGTATACAGTCAACTTCCAATTTATTCAGTCAATTAAATTCTGTATTAAAAAATTTTTTTAGTCTAAAGCGGTACAATTCAACTGCTTCATAAAGCCAGAAAGGTGGTTAAGAGTTTTTGTGCTCTTTAACTTATTTTCTATTAAGATTTTTAATTTAGGTGCTCTTCAGGTGCTTTTCTTTATTGGCCAGTTACAAAGTCAAAATTTCAGTTTCAGTTTAGCTAGATTTCAAGTTCGTTACCTCTGAGAGTGTTTCCGTCTTGTACTTTGCAACAGGTTGCTTTTTCAGGATTGTAAGGTTCCTTTCCACAACAAGACAGACTCGCCCCTGGGTAAAGTTTGTTTCCACAGCAAGCAGCTTCTTGTGTGTCATACTTTGTCCCATTGCAGTCTTTTCTGAAAAGCACAGATAACCAAAGCCTATTATCAATGACAGTAAATTCCATAGACTTAACAGTGCATACAGAAAATTGCTGTTTTACACCGTCAAACCTAGAGAGACTACTCCCTTTAACCTTTGTACTAATGCCCTCTATTGGACAACTATGAAATACACTAAAATGTAGCAACAGGAGCATACCCATAAGCTGTTTATAGTATTTTTAACACCTCCACCCTTGCTGTGCTGACATAAAATTTATCTGAATATAGGACATTTTAAAACCTCCCTCTACTCCAAATGTCAAAAACTGGAAGGTACTTCTTAAAATCCCAGCTCAAAGTCGAAGTTTCTCAGAATTTTTTTTACATTAACTTGTCTTAGTATGTCTTCCATCACATCTTTCCAACTGGGTTAAATGTAGAAGCTCATGGGTACTGGTTTAGCTCTCTGGGATGAGCAGGTGACCACTTGATGTATGGCTAGGAGCCCAGGTTTGAATCTGACCCATGCCCCTTTACCATACATCTTCCTCACTCTTCTAATAAGGCAGTTTATCCTTAGTTATTTCCATTATAGCTTACAGGACATTTTACAATTTAAAGCTTAATGATTAAAAACAAAAGGTTTATGTATTCTCAACTGATTCTTTGAAGATGTGAAACAGACTACCCCATCATCTTGTAGTAGAAAGTGCCTTAGGTGGTCATATTGAGTAGAAAGGCACTATAGAAGTATCAGTCCATTTACCATTTTCCATTAACTCTGCCTCCTGGATGTCAACCTCCTGTGTTCTTTTAGGTGCCACTGTCTCCTTTTCTAGGCACCACATCATAGTGGGTCTCACTACCATTTTGTAAACCTTCCCTTTCACTCTTGCTGCTATTCTTCTGTCCCAAATCACACCTGACATTCATCCCACTTCCACCATGAACCTGTCACTCCTACCACACACCATTGTCTCACTGTTTCCATAGATCTTCTTCATCAGCCTCATATCTTTCTCTGGAATTCCTGATTTCTTCATACAGTATCACATTTCCTCTCGTTGCACCTTGTCACTCCATCAATACTCTCAAAGCTTACATTGCTTTCAGAGTGTTAGTACAAGGATACCTCTCTATTTTTCCTCACATTCCTCCACAGGTACGCCATCTGAACCAACTGCCTTTCATTCTTCAGCCTCTTCATTGCTGTCTTCTCTTCCTCCTTACTAATCCATTCAAAGTTCATGGTTCATTTATTTGTCATTGTAAAATACAATATACAAGGTAATTTACTGTACTACTGCTTAAAAAGATGGCCCTCCTATAGTATAAATAAAAGTTCAATTCAATTCAATTTTATTATATAGCGCCAAATCACAACCTTAACTTACCACAAGGCACTTTGCATTGTAAGGTAAAAACCCTACAATAATAAGAGAAATAAAGAAAACCCAACAATGATATGACACCCTGTGAGTAAGCGCTTTGGTGACAGTGGGAAGGAAAAGTTTCCCACTGATTAAATGCAGAGTAGTGTACAGACAAATATTGTGTGTGAAAATATCAGTGAAGAATAAACACGCCGTGCGTCATGGGACTCCCCATCAGCTTAGACCTACTGTGACATAACTAAGACTATGTCTACACTAGCCCGGATAAATTTGAAAATGATGTATAAGTCTGAAACACTCCACACTATCGTTTGCATTCGTTTCACAGAGTTATTCATCCACATTGAAACAGGCGAAAACACTAATGCTCCAGTACTGCACATGTGTGAAACACAAGACGATTCAACCTACCTCACTTCTGTCAGTCATTTATTTACTTTCTGGCTCTTTGAAACGTCGCGGCAAAATGTTGAGGATAAGCAGCGAATTTTTTAAATGGACTAACAAAGAGGTGGAGTTGTTGCTGCGAGTAACACAAAAGTACAAAGCTGCAAAAGCGAGTGAGAATTAAAGAATTGAAGAAAAGCTATCTGAAGCATGTACAAACTGATATTAATCTTTACTCTCTGTGTGGACGGAAGACCAAAACGGAGGCAAAAGGATGCATTTTCAAACGAAAACGTGTTAGTGTGGACATGGCCTAAGGGAGAATTCAGGGTCACCTGAACCAGCCCTAACTATATGTTTCCTCAAAAAGGAAAGTTTTAAGGAAAAGTCAAGGAAAGTTAAGTTCCCTGCCTTTTAGTCTTAAGGTAGAGAGGGAGTCTGTCTACAGAATCCAAACTGGAAGCGTGTTCCACAGAAGAGGGGCCTGAAAGCTGGAGGCTCTGCCTCCCATTATACAATATCTCACAAAATGAGTACATTTTTGTAAATATACAAATATATCTTTCCATGGGACAACATGGAAGATATGGCACTTTGATACAATATCAAGTAGTCAGTGTACAGCTTGTATAACAGTGTAATTTGCTGTCACCTAAAAATAACTCAACATACAGCCACTAATGTCTAAACTGCTGGCAACAAAAGTGAATACACCCCTAAGTGAAAATGTCCAAGCTGTCCTCGAAGTGTCAATATTTTGTGTGGCCACCATTATTTTCCAACACTGTCTTAACTCTGTTGGGGATGAAGTTCACTAGAGCTTCACGGGGTGCCACTCGTCCATGATGACATACTGGAGCTGGTGGATGTTAGAGACCTTTTGATCCTCCATCTTCCCTTTGAGGACTTCCCACGGATGCTCAGTAGAGTTTAAGCTTTAGAGAAATGCTTGGCCAGTTAAGTACCTTGCTAAGTTCGTTTAGCAAGGCAGCGGTCTTTTGGAGGTGTTTTGGGGGTTGTTATCATGTTGGAATACTGTCCTATGGCCCAGTTTCTGAAGGGAGGGGATCATGCTCTGCTTCAGTATGCCACAGTACATGTTGGCATTCATGGTTCCCTTAATTAACTGTAGCTCCCCAGTGCCAGCAGCACTCATGCAGCCCCAAACAATGACATCCCACCACCATGCTTGACTGTAGGCAAGACACACTTGTCTTTGTACTCCTCACCTAGTTGCCACCACACAGCCGTGATACTATCTGAACCAAATAATGTTATCTTGGTCTCATCAGACCACAAGTAATCCAGGTCCTTATTCTGCTTGTCTTCAACAAACTGTTTGCGGGCTTTCCTGTGCATTATCTTTAGACGAAGCTTCCTTCTGGGACAATAGCCATTTGATGCTGTGTGGTGTATTGTCTGAGCACCGAAAGGATGACCCTCCACACTTTTGTTGCCAGTGGTTTAGGCAATGATGGCTGTGTGTTAAATTGTTTAGAGAGGCATATACACTGTTAAATACACTGTTAGACAAGTTGTACACTGACTACTTTACATTGTATCAAAGTGTCATATCTTCAATCTTGTCCCATAAAAAGGTATAACAAAATATTTACAAAATGTGAGGAGTGTACTCACTTTATTCAAATGCTGTACTTTTAAATACTCCAGGATCCACATGTAAGCCTACAGTCTTCTCTACTGGAGTGATATGGTACTACTGAATTAGATTCTGAATCAAACAGGGAGCCAATGAAAATAACCCAGTATAGGAGAAATATGCTCTCTCTAGTCCTGTCAGTACTCTTGCTGCAGCATTCTGGATCAATTGAAAGCACTTCAGGGAGTTGTTAAGATAAGTTGATAATAATGAATGACAGTAGTCAAGCCTAGAAGTGATAAATGCATGAACTAGCTTTTCAGCATCACTCTAATATTCTTGTTTCTCTCTCCTCTCTCCTCTGCCTGGGTGGAACTCCTTGCAAGTTCCCGCTTCTGGCCTACGAACCTGCAAATAATCACTCACCCACTGCTTGTTATACTTCCATTCCAGCTACTACTTAAGACAACAGCTCAGTATTTGTCATTGCTGGATCGTTGCACGACACAGGTCAGTGTAGCCCCAGCTCTTTGCTGTTTATTCTTGTCTCTAGTGCTTTCCTAGCTTGAAACTGTGCTCTCTTGTATATAGATCTTCCTGGACCTGTTTATCCCTGGAGTGTGTTCATGAGCGCAAGTGGTTTACGAGTAGCGTGTGTGGTCGAACAGGAGTGTGGAGTGTTTCCTTCCCCCTCCCCGGATTCCCTGGAGCCCCTTTCCCCTTGCATCTTTGTATATAGCACCTGGTGACATTGTAAATAAACTGTTCATCTTCAGGGTCAACAAAGTCCTGCGCTTGAGTCCATTTATTCACTGTGGCAGACACCATATTTCTAAGGCTACGTTCACACTGCAGGTCTTGATGCTCAATTCCGATTTTTTGATCAAATCCGATTTTTTTGTCTGCTCGTTCACACTACAAATAAAATGCGACCGCAAACGCGCTCTAGTGTGAACGCTCAAAGCGGCCCGCATGCGCAAAAGAAGACGTCACACACACACGCTCTGTTTAGACCCAGAGCAACAGTATTGTTTGACTGATGGCCCTTAATATAAAGACTTCCGACTTCACGTTTCCCAATTTTTGCTTTAAGTTATTTTGTTATCTACATAATAATGTAGATAACAAAATAATTATCCTTATTGCTGTTTTAGAGAGGAGCGGTGCTTCAAAGGATAGTTGCAGATTTCTGTAAGAGTCTGCAGACTATGCAGTACAAATAAAATGTTAACGTTTCTCCAACATTGTCTTCCCAGGAGTTTCACCGGATGGCCAGGAAGCGTTCGCGATGTCTTCTCCGGAGCTGATAATTGGCGTCTGTCTTGTGTCAGTGACGTAAAAGACGGATTTAATGCTACTTGACCGTTCAAAGAGCAGTCGCTTTCTGAAACATCGGATATGTATCGGATTCAGTATCACATACGAAAGTGACCCAGATCGGATTTGAAAGTATCGGATTTGTGCCGTTCACACTGTCATACCATGATCGGATATGAGTCGCATAGGGTCAAAAAAATCGGATTTGATGCGCTTTCACCTGCAGTGTGAACGTAGCCTAAGATTTTTGGGGTCAAGTACAATAATGTCAGTTTTATCTGAATTTAGAAATCATGTCTTTATCTCTTCAAGACATTCCTGCAGTTTAAGTAATTGGTGTGTGTTATCTGGCTTCATGGATAGACAAAGTTGGGTATCATCTGCAAAGCAGTGAAATGTATGCTATGCCTTCTAATGACACTGCCGAAGGGAAACGATATGGATCAAACCACTGCAGCGCAGCACCTTTCATACATTGTCAGTAATGCATAGTGCCTGGATATGCTTTAAAATAAATGTTATACCTTTTACTTTATTTAGTTGACTTTATAGCAGCACTCACAGTGATGACAGACTTTGAGTGAAAACTGTTCAAAAACCCAGTGGTGTGTGTTTTTCATGTCCTGCACTTCCTGATTCAACACTCCTCCATCCTTCCACTTTTGACTCTCATGAGCTTTTCAGAATACTCTCCACCCTCTCAACAGGCTCTCTTTACTCATTGTACATTTCAATCTCTAGCCTTAGTCACACAAACTTGCTCCCTCTCTCTCTCCATGTTTCTGTGTCCATCTCCGGGTTTGCTGTTCAGTGTTTTGAGTTAGTTCACCCAGTTTATGTTAGTTAAACCTCAGTTTCCATTTTGCCTCTTGCTTTTTTTATGTTCAGGTATTAATAAACGGCTTGCCTACTGTTAAACCTCACTCTCGCATCTATGTGTCTGCATGTGTGTCCTCAACCTCCTCACAGCCTGTTGACATTCATCTCCCTGAATATCACACTTTTTTCTTTGACAACCTCTCCCTTTAAATATTTTGATGTACTTTATCCTCCGAGAACTCTATGTTCTTCTGTTTCCAGTTTCACCATGTGACCCTTGCCTCTGCCTTTTCTTGCTTCATATCCTTGATTTCTTAAATCATCCTGCAGACCACCATGTAGTTTGACCTGACACCACCTTGAAGTCTCCCATTCACTTTCAGACTGCACCGTCTGCTTCTGCATACCATGTATTTAATCTGTATTCGCGTCCCGCCCCCCCCCCCCCCCCCACACACACACACACACTCTCACGCAGTCAAATGTGTTCAGAATCCAAAACCAACTTCTTTCCTCTCCTTATCATCACACCTGCCCAACACTTCCTTATCACCTAGGTTCCTTCACGCATGTCGACTGAAATCTGATCCAGTCACCAGTCCCAGCCCCCTGGGGACACGCTGTTCCATTTCATTCAATTTACTGCAGAAGTTCCTCGGCACTGCACTCATCTTTGCCGCCGCCCTCGCAAAAAACATCATCTGCACAACCGCATAACCACTCTGCCTCGACTGTAATCAACACAATTGTTCGAACTCTAAAATTGCGAGGAGCCTTATCAATACAATGAGTTCTCTGTAGTCTATAACCAAACGCTTGACCTTTGATCAGCGGCCAGAAATTAAAGAACACATAGCGAGTGAAGAAACAGTGACTCACCCACAGTCGTTTCTGGAGGCTGCGTTTGCTCCTGCGGCAGAAACTGTCAACAAGCACAAATTGAAAATGATGAGTTACTAAAAACTTGGACTAAAATTGAATAGCATTAGGAATCTTGATTGTCTACGGTAAAGAATGTAAAGAACCACAGGTTAAAAAAAAAAGACTGACGGTAAAACAGTTGTCTCTATTTTCAGTGATTTAATCGAAGAATTTGAACATCTCTGGAGGCGTTTATAGATTTGTCCCGGGCATTTACTCATAATACGCCCTCAAGTTTGAATTTACATTTAAAGGTCTGCATGCACGAGAGGTTCTTAATTCATATTTGCAGATGCCTATGCACCTTTTGAACTATTTATGAAGTTATGTAAATATTCTTGCAAAACACACACCGAGTTGATAACGCACACACAACTGACCTCACAGATCTAAATGTTTGGGAAGCACAAACAAATCCTTTTGCTCCAATAATATTCCCATACCACTCGTTAACTATACAAGATATATATATATATGATTCTACAGTCTGACGTCCCTGAAGAACCACGAGACTGCCCCGAGGTGTCTTCAAATGGATGAATCAGTCTGCCACCCACGCCCGGACATCACGCATCTGATGCTATCACCTTTCCCATTCTTTTTCCCACAACGCCACAGTAAATTACTAGAAGATGAAAAAAGATGGGGAAAAAACCCCAAAAACAACAACACACACACCACAAGAAGTTAGCTGATTTATATACCTGTGGATTTGTTCGTGTTCCAGGTGTTGCATGTTTGTTTGTTAATAGCGGTGAGGCAGTTGGTGATACAGTGTGCATTTCTTTTTACGCTATCCCTTTATTACCCCCCCCCCCCTTTTCTGCCCGTCAAATATCTATCTATCTATCTATCTATCTATCTATCTATCTATCTATCTATCTATCTATCTATCTATCTATATATATATATATATATATATATATATATATATATATATATATATATATATATATATATATATATATATGCATGCTATTATTATTTATAATACTGGCAGTGGGAAGTGGAGAAAAAAGTACCTTGCCTCCAAGCATTATTACCTACGACGCACGGTCTCTCTCTCTCTCTCTCTCTCTCAAAGCTTCCACAAACAGCGCACCAGCAGTCGGAACCTTATCAGTTGTGTCAAGCCAGTGGCCCTATACACGGATCCTCACAACTCAAAAAGAACTAATAAATAAATCAATATCACTTACCACAATCAGTAGAGAATCCAAAAATCAGCCAAGCTAAAAGAACAGGTGGAGAACCATCATTATACAGCCTTAAAATACTCAAATATATCTATTTCAGCAAAGGTACGAAATCCTACCAAACCCGAGAGTCTGAAGCAGGTACATCTGTAATCCTTTTAGGAGAATGTGTCTCCCATTGAGTCTGAGAGGCAAACATATGCGGCTAAATAGTCTAATTAGCCCCACCTCCCACGTAATAACGCCTAAAAATATGTCATTTATAACCAGAGGGTCAAGGTAGCGGGGGCACACAACCAGAGCGCTTGATTACATGGTATGCAAACCAAGAAGCTCCGCAACAATAGAAGACTTGTAACATGCAGTTGTTAAAGTATGCAGCTGCTCTAGACAATATAGATTCCAATTTTAAACACACGGCACTCAGGTGTGCACTGATTTCTATACCTGAAATAGATCCCACTGAGATGAAGATTTATTAGGGGAACCTGGCTTTCCTGTCCTGTTGGTGGGTTCAATTTTTTAGATAGTCCAGATCTGATGGTGAACACTCTTATCTCTGTCTGTTACTGCAGCATTTTACTTTGATGCAGTTCCCAAGTCATCCATGGGAGTTAGTTTGTGAAAATTCAGTTTTTCATTCAGCTTGATACATGTTTTAGATGATGAAATCTTCTTAGAAGTGACGACAGGGTGTTTGAAAAGTGATCGTCTTTGAAATGGGCTGAACCATATTGTCTACATGTGTGTGTGTGACATGTTAACGATTGTCGTATGCTGACGAGAGCTACCCAAATGCTGCTAGTTCCCATCTGTTTGTCATGGAGAGCGCTGCGCCCTACATGCAGTCCTTCTGATAATAGGATTCTTATTTTAACTTACATACCGTACATACTCCAATCCCCGAGGAAAATATTGCTGAATCAATTTAGAAAGTAAAAAGAAAAAAGAAAAAGAAAAACGAGAAAAAGACAGAAAAAACCGTTAAAAGTAAAGGTCCTTCATTCCATTTAATCCATCTGGTGTGATAGCATTGTAGACAGGGAGGGACAGGAAAACAAAAAGATCATCAAGGACGTGAATTCGACTCCATCCCAGGCCACTCGTCCAGTAGATTATTTTACCGCTGACTCATTAGGCTTGACTTATGTTGTAACAACTCACTAATAAATCATGTCGAACATACACTCCAAGCTCAAATCTTCGTGTGTGTGTGTGTGTGTGTGTGTGTGTGTGTGTGTGTGTGTGTGTGTGTGTGTGTACATGTGTGTTTTATGTTCTATCGACTCACCTGCTTCATGACTCCTGACTTACTTGCAGCGTTTAGCTCCATCTTGGAGATGACGCTTCCGTTTACTTCCAAGCATCCGTTTAACTGGTAACTCGTCGAATTATTATCTCCAGAATATCAGGTAGAAAGTTTTGTAGGTTGGCAAAAAAACTCATTTACCTGTCTGTGCAGGTGGTGAACCACATTAAGCAATCGTTGTTGACAGATCCCTCATCTCACAATCGGGAACAGAAGAGATTTCTGTTTTTTCTTTTTCCTTTTTTTATGTCTAAACATACAGAATATTTATTTATGTTGGTAGATAGCATACGGTTAATGGGTTCATGAGTATTGAAGGGTTATATATAAAATAAAGGAATTGCCCGTTTTGCAAGTATATTTATGACTCGTCATTGTACCTATGTGTTCCTCATTATGAGCAATCCAGTGTCCTTTTTGGCATCTTAAAATGTATTTATAGAATTGTGATGAGATATGTTTGACAGACTATAAGCAAACATTTACTACCATTTAAATACATGAAAGTTCTTGGCATGACACTTGTATTCTGTGGTTTTTTTGTGCTTTCTGTTTTGATCTAGGGTACTTCATGTTGTAGGCTGAACTTGTTTGTCTGGTTTTCCTTCGATGTAGTCTACTAAAGCCAATTTTACATTGAAGCAAATTTTCTTTGGTGGCAGGCTCTTTTAAAAAGAGGTTGTATGGGAGAATCATCTCTTAACAGGCACGTGCAGAGGGGGGGGGGGGGGGGGGGGCTAGAGGGGCTTGAGCACCCGCCCCTTTCCTGATGGGTGCCCAAAGTGCCCTTTGTTGAGGCAACTTTTTAAAAAAAAAATAAAAAAATTTTTTTATGTGTGCGTGCGTGTGGAGTCCTGTCTGTGCCCCTCAACAATAATATATAGTGTATAGCACACAGGAGTATTGGCTTATTACGTACACGTTGGTAAGTTGTCTTGTGGCAACTGACGAACTGAAACAAACGAGCGTGCTGTGTGTGCGACAGCGCGACAAACATTACCTGCCCTTTTATTAACTGCACAAGTAGTGCTGGTCATAGCTGCTGGCTACCTGTGTAAGGCTGTCATGGGTCTGTAGCTCTGTCACCGTTTTAGGGAACATATTTAGTTTTAAAGTAAGTTACAGGACTTTTCCTGCCTTTCTGGAGGGATTATATTTCACTAAAAACGATCTAATATGCATGTCCACATAATTATGCATTATTATAATTATAATATATTAAAAAACACACACTGTATTTTAAAGAACATACATTAAGAAGCAGATTATATTAGATTTATATTTTAAATAAGACAAAATTTGGAGTTTACAGCAGCAAAATTATTGTATCTCTACAGTTTAAAAATGTAATAAGCTTTCCCCTGCACAGAGTGGATAGTGAAACAAATGGAATCATCATCAATACATTATTTCATATTTATTACTTCCCCCTCCTCATTGCTTTATTATTGTAGCTCTAGTAATAAATAATAATGTAAGGATTCTGGATCAGCACCATGATGCCCAAAGTATATACAGTATTCTGAAGAAGGTCTAAAATGTCACTGTGTGTGCGTACATGTGTGTGTTTTATTTAGATGGATTTTTAAAAAAAAAAAAAATATTACTCATGATATAACATTGTCCAGACATGCCTGGTAAGGACATGAGGAGGAAACAGCAGGAGCTGTGTGATGCTACTAAAGGCAGTGCTATAACATTTTTCTGTCATCATTTTATTATAGATTAAGTGCAAGAGTTGTTAGGTGTGGATAATTAGATTATAGTTTATTGCAATAGCAAGTTGTGCCTTATTCTCAGATAGACAGCAAGTGGAGAGTGATATATGAAATGATGGGATGGAAGGAAGAAGAGAAGCAAAGAGTGATTCACAGGCAGAGCCGAGTTTATTTCTCACAGTGTTTTGTTGCCAAGCGCTGTCACCAATCTTTGCATTTTGTTATTATCTCATGACACTTGTTTAATCAGCTACCATCTCTCCTGTGGACTTTTTAATGTCTACAGTCTCAGATCAACACAGCCCTGCCCTTCCCATATTAGATTCTTGATGAATGTGTGTTGTTGTTATTCAGCCTGGTTCAATGTGCCCCTTTTTAACTTTGAGCACCCACCCCTTTAAACCTCTCTGCACGGCCCTGTCTCTTAACACGATTTAGGAAACACTCGGTCTGACATGTCATACTGTGCTTGATTGTGTGTGACTCAGAATGGTCGAAGACAGAAGAATGTATTTCTAATAGATATTGTTAGTGTTTATTTACATCTTCACTTATCCTTGACATACATTATGTTCACGGGCAATCCAACTATTATGTTTTAGCGTTAGGTATCAGACCCAGAAGCAAAGTTTACGCAGGCAAGGGGTGGGGGAGGGGGCTGGGGGTCCTGTGTTGTTTGGTGCAAGGACGGCCTGCTTGCGCATTCCCGTTGAACTGACATGGTTATGTTTCGGTGTTTTGCAGGTGAGCACAGGTGATGTAAGCAAAGTGATGTAGCTGTATACAAAACGTGTTCAAAGAATGTACTGTCATAAAATTACATTTCGCTATTATTTGCAGTGTAATGATTTAGGTTGAATGAGTTTGCGTGAAACACAATGCAAATCAGAGTAGCATACACTGAGTTATACAGACGACAAACCTGTAAATCAATGATGTGTATTTTAAATATTCCAGGAATATAAACTCCGTGTTTATGTTTAGTTTATTAGTATTCTGTGGTTTTGGTTGCCTTGGGTGTTTGTACTCTTCTGTTTCATGGTTCATGTTCCTATGTTCTGTGTCCCTGAGTCTGTGTTAAGTTGGTGGGTTATGTCATTGCGTGTATGTGTTTCCTGTTTTATTGTGAAGGTCTGCGTCTTATGTGAGTGTTTTCAGTTTGCCTCCCTAGTCTTGTCACGTTAATCACTCCCGGCTGTGTTCCCCACCTGTGTGTAATCTCCCTGTGTTCTCTGAGTGTATTTAAGTTGTGTCTTTTCAAGTTTAGAAAACTCAGAGTGAAAAACGATACTCAGGGTTGAGTAACCCCGAACTGTCCAACTCGGAATATTCGGTTTCAGAAAGGCTGATAACAATTAGTTCAGTCAAGGCGAAGTTGCTTTAACCCCAAGTTAAGTGCGCGCACGAGGATACATAAAGCCCTGATTAGTGGAGCACAGAATAAGCGAGTCACCATGGAGACGGAGGGAAAGAAGGTGCGGTCAATGTATGTCACAGCGCTTGAGGCCGAAATTCCGATGGCAGCATATGCTGATAACATACAAATTTTGCGGAAAAAAAGTAACACAGCCTCAGCTGCAAAAGAAAGAGAGCATGCATGGCAAAACAAAGCCGACAGAGTCAATGTGTGAGTGTTAATTTAAACATTGATCAAGGGATTTCCACCCATTTAACACGTTATTTTATTTTTTATTTTATACATTTGATTTTGTGATGTGATTTGAGCGCAGGTGCAACCCAACAGGCCCCAAACGTTCCTGGCAGCAAGTAAAAATGAAATATAAAAATATAGTCCAAACAGGTAAGGTGTAATTGTATTATGAGCCATAGTGCTTGGTCTGTTTGTCCCATGTAAATCAATTGCAGTTAGAGGCTACATTAATTTCCCCTCTGTAAGCACTTATTGAAATTATCTGAGCACATTACAAGTACATATTTGCTTACTCTGTATGCTCAAATGTGACCCGTTATAGCCAACAGAAAAAAAGCGGAGGCCTGAAAAACAGGTGGGGGTCCTCCACCACCACCACTCACAGAGGCTGAGCAGTTGGCCCTCAGCCAAAACAGTGGGCTCCCTGTGGCTGAAGGCATCTCTGCGGGGACATCCTCTGAGTCAATAACCCCGCAAGACACAAGTGCCTACATAAGGGGTAAATTCAAAATAATACATGATGTGCATACATCCTTTCTTCACAGTCACCTTTGCAGTGCCACTCATTCATCTGATAAACTCTTACCATAATGGATTATTTGTAGTGAAGTTATTTTCCTACTGATTTTGCCTTCCCTCAGTCTGGTTGTCTTTGAGAGCATAATGACAATGAAGTGTAAGGTGATTGGTATGTTTGTTAATTGCCATTTGGTCCCTTGTAAGTTATAAGTGACCTGTATAAACCTCATATTCTATCAGTTGATGGTGATGGTGTACTGCATCTGGTGCAGCCTCCTGTTGAGCCAGACCAACATGCAGTTGTGAGTACTCTTAATACTCCACAGATTATATGAGTTTACAGTAGAACAGCAATGTTGTTAATTTCTTTACTGCAGGAAAATAATGAAGAAACATTGACAGCTGTTACAGAGGAGGAAGCAACAGAGACACTTTATGAGGTGTACATCTTTTAATACTTTGTGTACAGGAAACACAGGCGACCAATAAAGCCAGTTGAACAAAACATCTGTTTATTCTTCTTTCAACATGTTGAGGTGATGGGTCAAAGGAAATGATTGTGACATATGGTGTCTCTGACTGCACTTCCATCTTGTATGTCTGTGGGAGGTCAGGATGTTCATGGTTTGGATCACTGCTGATGTTTGGTTCAGAAGGACAGTGTTCTCCTCTAATTGTGGCAATGTTGTGAAGAATCACACATGCCACAATAATGTCACATGCCCTTTCTGGGGTGACCTGAGTCTTTGCAGGCACTGGAACCGGCCTTAAGCATTCCGATATCATTTCAATTCTGGCTCTTGTCCTGCAATTAGCCAGATTATATCGCTGCTGTGGGCCCGGTTCAGGTCAGGTAAGGGGTAAGCAAATAGGGTAAACATGGATACCCCCTATCACCAAGCAAGTAGCCAGTGAACTCTCCTAAGACAGAAGGATACACTTCAGTTCAAATGTCCCTGAAGCAATTGGTCTTTATATATTTTAAAGTATTTTCAACTCACCATGTCCAAATTTTGTGCTCAGTGTACATTCACGGAATATTTGTGAGTCATGGACAGAGCCTGGCCACTTGGCTTCCACATTTGTGATAATGTTGGCAGCATCATATATGA